ATAATTCTCTGCTGGGATATGTGTCCCTTTTATGTTCTATAAGGACTTGACCATTGTTTCCACTAAAGGTAGGAACAGCTCGGGCAGTGAGAAAACTGATTGACCTCCAGAGGCTGTCAATCCATTCCATAAAGAACACTTTGTTTTTAGCATTTACTTTTGCAAAAACTTGAAAACATCATCCTCATCTTCTAGTCTCATTATATTTCTTCCTCACCCTGAGGGAACCACCATTAATAGTTTCTATATATCTTTCTAGAGTTACTTCAGGGATATATAAGCAAAGACAAACATTTATTCTTATTCCTCTCCTTTTTGTGCAGCAGTTAACATATTTTACATTCTGCTCTGATTATTTCTTTCACCTTACACATTAAAATTTTTCCATATTAAAACAACTGTCTTTGTTCTGTTTACACCTTCTTCGTATTACACTGTCTGAATGTTCCCCTGTGTCTAACCAGTCCTGTCTTGTTAGATACTTAAAGAATTTTTTCCTCTAGAAAAATTACTGCTATTCACAAATATGGCTGTAAATATCACTTTATAGATATGTCATTTTGCATATATGCAAGGATTTCTGTAGCATAACTACAAAGAAGTGGAAATTTGGATCCAAAGACAGACCATTTATAATTTTGATAGATTTTGCCAATTGTTTTCCATAGGGAAGGCAAGTAAGGTTTTTAAAAATTCTACATTATTAGATTCATCGTCACATATTTTTGGCAAAGTGCCTGGCATAAAAGCATTCAACAAAATGCTTATTTTAGGATTACTTCAATATTCTCCAACAACTGTACTTACATTCTTTTTTTTCTGAACAGTATTAGTCTCACTACTGAGTTATATTCGTTGAGGATAAAATTATGTGAATACTGGAAGAGAGACGGGAAAAAATATTCCTGTTGAGTCATCAGAGGAAGCATGATTTTTTTAGAGGACTTTGACCAGTGGGCCTGGTAGAGTCAGACTGCATTGTGGGGAACTGAGATGCAGTGAGGGGAGAATTGTCACAGGATCATAGAGCCCCTTCAGTAGCGTCACGGGAAATGAGTGATGTTGATACAACCTTCTGTGTCAGAAGAGGTTCCAGTCACATTTGATTGATATACTAGAAGTTACTGATTTCATGACACATGAGGTCAGCAGGCGTGGAATGCTGTCCTAGCTTTCTGATGACTCTTTAAGCTGAAGAAGAGGCTGATGGAGAGTCAAATCATTCAGTCCGTGGGCTGATCACCCATGCCAGTGGACAACTGGTTAAAACGCTAGAATCAGAAGCTCTCAATGGAAGGGCTGTGATCATCTTGAAGATTTTTAGGAAGTTTTGATTATCAGTTTGACTCAGAAAGTTTTAGTTTAGTCCATGAAGTTATCTTACAGATAAGGCAATGGAAGCCCAGTGTAGTCACATAATTGGCTGTAGTCACAGAGTTAATTCATGACAGATCTGGAATATGGACCCACAGAGCTCAGCTCTGTTCAGGAGCTGTCCTTTCCATTTCCTGGAAAACGCAGGGTATGTAGAAGAATCAGCGGTGTGGGTGGGCGAGCTAAGTAGGTATAACGGCATCATTTGCCCTCCCTTTATCTGAAGTAGCTGGACTCTTTTTCTGTTTTTCATGTACAGATACTCATTTAAGACTTTTCTTAACAAAGAGACATTGTGACCAAATATTCCAAAGTCTTTTATCCCAGATTGAGAAAACAAACACATGAAAATGCTATAACCACCTTACCCCTGAGAGGAGGTATACTTGAAGGAATCCTTGCCAGCCTAATCTCCCTATTTTATTTTGGGAGAGAAGAGCACCAGGCTGGGAAGTTAGGTATTTGATGCTAAAGTCCCATTATACAGAGAATATCTGTGATCTTGTAATGTACTTGTGGTTAGCACCATGTTGTGGGGCTGAAAATGAAAGACCTGAGTTTCTTACCTCATCTCTGCTGCATCTAAGCTCAGTGTACTTGTTAAATTACTTCCCACATTGGTCAATAAACACAAATGGCTTAGAATAGATCAGTCCTAGTCACGATTGTTAACCTGGGCTGCACATTGGGACAACCTGGGATGCTTTTAGAAATCTTGATGTAGTGACATGTGAATTCCATCCATTGAATTTCGGATATAACTGGTCCGGTATGCAGCCTGGGGATTAGGAATTTCAATGATTCTAATGTGGAGTCCAGGTTGACAGTGACTGCCTAGAGAGCAATGATTCTCTAAGGGTGGTCCCCACACCAATAACATCACTGCAGAATTTGTAAGAAATGTAAATTCTCAAGTCCCAGCCCACACCAACAGAATCAGAAAATCTGGGTATGGTCCTAGAAATCTGTGCATTACCACGTGGTCCCAGTGATCCTGTGGTACCAAAGTTTGAGGATCACTGAGTTAGAGGATCTGTGAACTTATGAGAACAGGTGCCAATTAATCTTTATGCAAGAGCTAGGTCCATAAGTAAAATACCTGTCTGGAGAAGAGTGAAGAACATGAGGTGAAGAGACTGACAGACTTTATCTCTTAGAATCATCTAAAATGCATGATCTGGCTCAATGCCCGTAGCTCAGCAGTTAGGGCGCCAGCCACATGCACCAGGGCTGGCCAGGGCCTGCTAAACAACAATGACAACAATAACAACAATAAAAACAACTGGGCATTGTGGTGGGTGCCTATAGTCCCAGATACTGGAAGGCTAAGATAAGAGAATCACTTAAGCCTAAGAGTTTGAGGTTGCTGTGAGCTGTGATGCCACAGTACTATACTGAGGGTGACATAGTGAGATTCTGTCTCAAAACAAGTAAATAAATAAATAAATAAAATGCATGATTAGAGCATTAGAAGAAGGCTGCTGTTTTGGGCTTTATTGATGTGCTCCATGAAGACAGACAATGTTTAATTTTAAGGTATATAGACTGCTAAATGTTTTGAACTTCCTGATACACATATTTGATAGAAAATCTAGCCCTCTGAAGAAGGCTGTCTTCATTTCTATGAGAAACTATGAGTAAGATTACGGAAGACGGGGGGGCTTCGATCACTCCTGCTGCATGTGAGGAGAGCAGCTTAGTAAATACCAGAGTTCAAGACTAACTTCTCTAGCAGACAGGGCCTAGAACAGAGGCAACCAGAGGAACTATTGTATTTTTCCATGTGCAGTGCTCACTTTTTCTCCTAAATTTTTGAGGGAAAAATAAGAATGAGCATTATACATGGGTGGTACTAATTTCATACCTATATAAAATGTTCTTAGTTTTTTAATTTATGCTCATGTGTTAAAAGTATAACTCTAGAAAGCTATAATGATATCTGTATGCAAAATAATACCCTGGAATATGATAATTGTGCCCCCTCCATGCTTCCCCTCTCCCCAGTTGTCCCCTCACTGGGCAGGCACCACAGAGGCAGGAGCCCCCAGCCAACCCAGCTGGTGGCCTTGGACACTGCTACTGCTGTGGTCTTGGATGTGGCCTTGCTGCTGACAGCAGTGCAGTGGTTAGTGTGAGGGTCTCAGCAGAAGGAGAGTAGAAGTGGCCACATAATGGCAGCTCATCTTACAAGGGGTGTGAGGTGTGGAGCCAGCCCCTGCAGAGAAGCCAGAGCAAGTCTGGGCAGCAGGTGAGAGTGGTCCAGACAACCTGAGTACCCAGTCCCCTATGGCTGTTTTCTCCTGGCCCACCCTTGTGCCCACATCCTTTCCATTTCATTTCCTATTCCCACCCACATCTGTGAGTGGGAGCATGGCCGTGGGTGCTCTGCTGAAAACCTTGGTGGGTTTATTCCTGGGAAGCTAGTGTGTGAGGCCAAGTCCCACCCTGCCTGCCTGGGCTCTTGAAGGTAGATCCCTGACCTTTGGGGGCTGCCTGGTGTCTTGAACAGCTGCTCCCATTGTCCAGAACATCACACTGAGGTGAAGGATCCTTGAGCTGGGGCCTAGGCAACATGGGTCCTGAGACCTGCATCTACTGGTAGCCCACTGTTATGACCTTGGGCCTCCGTCCCCATGAAGTTTCTGTCTGCGAGTTTACCTGAGAGCAAAGCACAGGAATTGGAGTACCTGAGCCTATAGATTGTAATTTTGGGCCTACAGCTTATCTGAACTCCTAATTGAGTTGTCACAATTTCCCACATTTGTCAGAAGAAGAACCATCTAGGAGGCTGGCTAATAAAATGGAGACCCAGGTCTTTCTCCTGGAAAGTTGACTCAGTGTATTTGGGTGTGGTTTAGAAGTCTCCTTATAACCAGTCTCCCAAGTGATTTGTAGGATTGGCAAGTTTAGGAGAAGCTGGTGTTGGCCATTCAGTTGTTACTGAGTGCCCAAGTTCTGGATGGCTCAAGGATGTCACAGTCCAGTTACGAAACAGAAATGTGAATGCAAGGTACTTCAGTGGGGTGTCATCAGGGAAGGTGCCTCCTCAGTGTAGGGTCCTGGGCATCTCAGTCTGGGGCCAGCTGTGTGAGAGAGGAGGCAGGACAGAAAGGTCAGGGATCTACCCTCAAGATCTGGGCAGGAGGGCCAGCCCTGGTCCCTCACACCAGCTTCCCAGGAAATAAGCCCACCAGGATTCTCAGCAGAACAGCCGTGGTCGTATTCCCACCCACAGACATAGATAAGATGTAGGGATGAGGGTGGGCTGAGAGGGGACAGCTTAGGGAGGCAAGGTGCTCAGGTCATCTGGACCACCATTACCTGCCACCTGGGCTAACCCCCAGCTTCTCCACAGCAGACCTCTCTACACGTTGTGCCTCTTGCAAGAGGGAGGTGCCATGCCACTTCCACCTCTTTTAAAAAATTAAAATGAAATATCTTTTTCTTAGAAGTCTGGTCAAAATGTGGATGCAGTTTATACATGTGAGTGCATTATGCAGGACAAAATATGGTACATTTTCCTGAGCTGTCTCAGGAAAGGAGGAGCTGCTGGAGTACACTAACTAGTCATGAGCACACAGTGGGCTCAGTCTTCTCTAAACAGGTATTTTCTTCTTTTTACTCAGCCAGGGGCCATTGAGACTGCCATGGAAGACTTGAAAAGCCACATAACTGAGACTTCTGGAGAGACCATTCAAGGCTTCTGGCTCTTGACAAAGTGAGTACTTATGACCCAGTGGAGGGCAGGGGAAATACAGAAGTATTTTCCTTGATACCAGTAGAACAGAATGGGAGATGCACCTGTGATAGAATTTCTTTTGTTACTGTTTATGATTTTAAAAAATGAATTTTCTAGTTATGGAGTCATTTTCTGGGGTCTTGTGGTTAATGGTATGACTATATTTGACCCCTTCAACTATTTTTTGGGTCTATTTTCCTCACTTGATTATCCTTTAAGTCTACCTTAGATCTGGCCTACACCATTGCTCTCAAGGACCGGTCTATTTGCTTCCTAATTCTCATGCTGTGTAGGGAAGACAGGCCACCTTAAATGGAGTTAGTTTGAGACCCAGATCTAATACGTAAGTCCTTATTGCTTCATTTACTGCCCGCATTCACCCACAAGGGTTATTTTAGCTATAAGAGCTTTCACTACAAATATCACTGTAGAGATAGTTTCCTTTCTGTCCTGCACAGAAACTCCATTATTTGTGTGGCCCTTTGTTCACCCACCAGGTAAACATTAATAATGCCATGGTCTTTATAATGGTAAGTAAAATATCCCTGGAATACGGAAAAGAGGCAACTATTTTTCTACTGCAGGAAACATAGTATTAAATAGATAATGTGATTAGAACATCCACTTTAGATACATAATAGATTCAGTAAATTTGCTTTTTTTAGATTAGTAATCTGGTCATCAAAATAAAAACTTAGTGATTCCTATACCTTGAGAAAAGATTTACTCTTTCACCTATGGGCAGGACATTCTCTGTGACCGAGTTTTCAGGAGGGAACACTTAACTGTTTAACCACCCAGACAAGCAGAACAAATTTTTCAATCAATGGGAAGCAGAACAGATCACCTGTGAGTCCATCTGATTGGTCAGCACTTTTTATACTGTTGTTTCAAATAGGCTCTAAGATTTGAATGAAAATGAACTTTGAAAAACCATCCTGACTTTCAGTTTTGAGTCTTTGCTTTTTCATCCATCAAATAGAGATGTTAATGTGTACCTGAGAGGGCTAAATGAAATACCATTGGGGAATTAGCAAGGTATACCCAGCACTTAGTCAATTTTTAATAGCCATAGTGTCACTCCTCTGTTCACAAGTACTAACCATTGGCATAAGGATTTTTTTATTTAAAAAAATGTTTTTTAGTAGCTTCTGCCTTCATTTCTATCCTTATCCATTTCTACCATTTCTGGGTTGCCTCTAATGAAAAGAAAAGACTTTTTCTTTATTCAGGCTTTTTCAGGCTTTTTCTTTATTCCTTTTTATGAAACCATTGTTCATTCTCTATTTCCCACTCCCCATCTAGAGTAAAACCTGACTTATGTAAATGAATGCTCTGTCTTGATTAGAAGAGATCTTGAAATGTGTTTTGGAGGTCCAATAGAGTAAACGTTTAAGAATTTTCTTTTTATAATGCTTCTCCCTTGTAAGGAAGAATGCACAATGCACATATGTGGTATTTCAAAATCCAGTCATGGCTATCTTTGAGCTCTCAGATAACAGAACCAGTAATTTATTTAATGTTACATTTTTAAAAAATGTGGTTTTACAGTTTTTGAATGGAAAGGAGTATTTCTTCCTTGTTTGATTACTTTTGTTCAATGATAATAAAGACATAGATATAAATTGCCCAAAGATAAATCAGATTGTCTGATCTACACTGAAGCTTCATGCCTGATTTACCACCACCTAGAATGAGTGGTAAAACAAGTGATTCAGACAAATATGAACAGCTGTTTCCCAAAGACCCACGCTTTGAACCTAGGTCTGAACCTAATAGGAAGATCAAAAGTTGGCAATGCCTATCTAGAAACTCATTTTCTTTTTCTCTTTTGTTTATGGTGCATATTTTGATTAAAGACAACAATCAGGGATGTGTCCTGCGCACGTGGAATTTCATACAATCCTATTTGCTGTTAGACTTCCTTCCTCTGTAATTTAAACCCATCCCTCTCCTTTAATTGGTAGTTCCTGTTGTTCTTTTTGATGTTCCTCTCTGCCAAAATCCTTTAACTCCTCCTCCCCTCAGAACCTATTTTCAAGAGAATGTGCCAGTTTCTTTTCTTTGCTTGTTAAACCTTACAGCTGGCTCAGAGATGCCTTATGCAATGAAAGGAGCTGTGTGTTAGTTCAGGTGTCTGGACTAAATTAATGAAGTTCCTGGACACTGTGACTGTTGAGGGATCAGGCCCAAACTTCACAGTGGTTCTTCTCCAGTGCTAGGTGGAGACAGAAGAATGAAAGAAAAGGAAAAGACAGATACAAATTTAAAGTTTTAAGAACAGCATGGGCTGAGGGATTGCTCCTTATTGTGAGGCTTCAGCAAAGACCAAGGCTCTGGGCCAGCTGTATGTTTATTTCATACATCTCATAGGAGCAGGCCAAAATCTTTACATCATAATTCTTGCTGAGCTTCCATTCTCCAATAAAACTGTGTTTTCAGCTAACTATGTTAATTAGACTGATTTATCTTTTACTATTATTGCTCTAAGTTATTTATAATCTTAATACAAACAGAATATGGGACAGTGAACACAGTCCAGGAGCAGGATGTCAGAGAAGACCCCGATTAGGCCCCACACAGAAATCACAGGAGTGACAATTAACACTCAAGAAGCTTTGTGCTCAGACAGACCACTGCTTCTGACCATACCAAGGTGACAGAAGAAAGGAGATATTTTTTCTCCTTATCTAGTCCAGAGCAACTTGCTGTCTTTTCTGAGGTTTAAACATTCTGCATTCCCTAACTCTCCAAAAGCATTCCGTCTCCCTGAGAGGGCGGCCCTGCCCTGGCAAGCCTTGCCTGCTCAGTGACCTCTGCAGTGGAGTTGCCCTAGGGGAGGGGTGAAGTTTCAGCAAGATAGCCTCTGTGCATTTTGCACCAGGCTCTGGGTTTCTCTGATCCACTCCTCTCCTGTCTCTGTTCCCTTTTGCCCATGATTTGCAATCATTTTCTTAATTCAATTCCTAACCTACTTACAACTAATAAATGAATGTTGGTTTTAAGCTTATTAAATCATTATTACTAGCAATGCAAGCACATCCAGATCTGACTCTTCCCTTAAGTACCCATATGGGCACCTGCGTTTGACTGTTTATACAGAAGAATGAAAGGCCCCCTTGTCAGAAGGAGGAGCATTCATGAAGGGTGTGAATGACATTTCACTTTATGACTTTTTGTTTATTTGACTGGAGATTGTAGTACATCAGTGCAGGAAAAGGTAAAAGCAACAGCAAGGATGGAAAATACACAAATTAGAAAACCCCAACCTTCTCCAAAAACCTACGATAAAGAGCAAATCAAACACACGGGCCCAGAAAGGCAACAGCCTGGGCCTTCTGCTCCCTTATCTCTTTTCTATAATGGAATGCAACTCACCCACTTAGTTCTTCAGAATTACAGGAGCTGTAGTAGAGACCAAATGGCCTAGCCTCACCAACCATGGAAGATGCTCTTCAAACATAAGACTTTTCTGTATGACAAAATGACCGAGATCCATGCATGTTAACCTTTAGCTCATTCCGTGGAAAATGAGACAACCTTGCCTGCTCATTTAGCAACTTGAAGCCTGTCTGCTTTCAAGCAAGGCTTTCATTTCAGAATGATGAGAGTAAAAGCCCTTTTAATGTAAATAGCACATTATGAAGTATTTTCACATCTGTGAGCTTGCATTAGCTTCCCAACAACCTTGCCAGTTTTACGACTCCCATTCTACAAATGAAGAGTGTAGGCTGGGAAACTCAAAGTGGCCAGATGAAGAATGTTTAAGTGATGGAGCAAGGAAGATGGGCGGCCCCTCTGCATTAGCTTTGAGGCTGATTGGGTTCTAATCCTTTTCACAAGGATGTAAGATGCAGATGTGGGATGATTGATGAACTCAGCTTAATCTTAAATCATCGTTGGTCAGACTCCTAGAAATGGTTTGACGTAAGTCCGCAAGGCAGAAACTGTCAAGAGAGGAAACTGAAGAAGTGCCTAAGGGCCATTGCATCAGGTTAGAGAACTTAGATTCTACCCTGTGGGTGACGGGGAGGCACTGAAGGGTTAAGTGTGACCGTATTTACATTTTATGAAGAGCACTAGAGGCCCACACTTTCTCTAAAATCCTTGGGATCAAATGTGAATCAGAATCAAGAACTTTTCAGTTTTTAAAAGGGGTAAAACAATGTTTATTTTTCTGACATTAAGTCCATAAAGCCATTTTCTTACAATGGTGCCCCCAAATTAAGGCGAGCTACTTTGTGATGGTCTAAAATGATATGAATGTATTATCCAATAAAATTAGAAAAATGAATCTGAGAGCACTTAGGAGGTCAACATAGGGGAATGGACAGAGAGGCCGAGAGGGGACAAGAAGGGGTATAGCCCTACCCTCAGCTGGTTCTCGGTTTAGCTGGAACCATGAAGAATACCCTAAATGGTTTCCAGGTGTGATCCAGGCCTCCAGCCCAGTTCATACAGAGATTGATCTGTCCATACAGCTACAGAGACAGGGTATTGTTTATCTCCACCTTACCTCCTCCCTTCACCCTGTTACTTGGTCCTTTGGAAAAAAGACTTTTAAAGAAATTGGGTGTATGCTTTTAGAAGTGATCCATTAATCCAGTGGCAAGGAGAACATCTTGACACTCTGTGGAGTCTCAAAAAGTATGCTACGGTGGGAATGAAGTGGCTCTTCAACAGAATGTACTTGAGATGTTTTTATCCGCAGTGGTTGAAGAAGCAGGAGGAGGCGGCGTCTTCCCTCCACAGAGATTATTACAGAGTGGTGGAAGGGGATTGTTATTATTCTTATTTCTAATTGAGAAGACTTGCCTATGGAGGCTGGGATCAAGTAATTCTTGCTCTTCATCTTTGTATAAAATACTTAAAATGTTTCATTATTTACTGCTCTCCCTCAAACCTACTTGGTTTCTATTATTTCCTATACTAAATTCGTGAAATCTAATTAACTATGTGGCACATACAGACAGCAGAAT